CCTGCATAGTCCTTTATGACTATGTTTTTTATTTAATAATTTTAGTAGTAAAAAAGCTTCATAGATATAAATTCTAAAATCTTCCTTTTATAGTGAATATTGTTAGAAGAAAATATATTACCAAAGTAGCCTAATAGAAAATTATTCAGTTTATACATGTGATGAAGAGTGGGCATGAGAGAAAAAAATCTCAATTTATTGAAAGTTTTCTAAACAAAATTAAAATAATTTAAATACATTAAATAATTCAAACAGTAGCAGATACTCCAAAACACAAATTAAGATTCCTATAATGAAATATTACCCTTTATTGAAACGGTTATGTAAAACTTTATATACGTGTGTGTGTCTGTGTGTTTCCTGTATATATACATACATACATACATACATACATACATACATACAAGAAATCCTTGTGTGTGTGTTGTTTTGATTTATTCTTTTTCTACTGTTTCCTTTTCCTTTTTCTGTTCTGTTTAATCAAAGCATTTTTTTAAAAAAAAGGATATTATCTTGTTTTTACTTGATGCAATGAGGATATTACAGCATCTGTCTATACTGTGATATTTTTTCTGTTGAAATACAAGTTATCCTAGAATCCTATATTTTCTTTTCCTTCCTCAAAGATTTTGTTCTGGTTGTTACCATAACTGTTTGTTTGTATTGAGTATCAATCATATACTTCAGATAATTATTTAGGTACACATTTTAATCCCTACACCAACATTATGCAATCTGCATATTTTGGGTATATATTGAGAGATATTGGGGAGGATTATTTTATGGGTATTTTTAGAAAACCATCTTTATATCAAATGATAATTCAGCCAACCACACAATCCTATGTACAGAATGGCAGAACAAATAGCCAAGAGCAAATTCAACATGATGCAAGTTGCCTGTAAAAATGCAAACTTCACATATACATCAATGGGATTTCAGCTGGAAGTAACTGATCAGGAAAGGGAGCCTAGCTTCATAGTAGATAACTCAATAAAAATGTCAGCCTAATATATGGGTGCAGGGAAAAAAAGACATGTATCATGCTAAAAATCTTTACTGTATAAGGTACACTGTAGATATAAATATATAAGCACTGCAGGTAGTCCTTGACTAACAACCACAACTGGGACCAGAATCTTGATTGTTCAGTGAAGCGGTCATTAAGCAACACGCCCATGTGACTGCTTCACTCAACGACTGCAATCCAGGCACTCCCAATTGCAGTCATTAAACAATCTCCCCAGTCATTAAGAGCATGGAGCGAAAGGGCTGTCTGCTGAAGGATTTCAGCTCTGAAATCCTTCAGCAGACAGCCCTTTCACTCTGTTCTCTTTCTTCAAATCTCAGGTATGATACAGTAGGATTCTTTTTATATTCTTATGTAACTCATACATAGGTTGAGACCATATTTTTATTAAATGTTCAAAGTCCAAGACAACAGCTAGAATAAAGTATTTGATCAGAATGTATATGCTAATACAGCTGTGAATGACAGCCATTAAATAATTTACCTTATTAACGGTAATTAATTAATAAGTTTGAAAGCAAAATGTTCTACCCATTTTGAAAAGCAGGCATGAAAGTCCTGTGCAGATGGTATTCCTAGAAAAAGAACTGCAGAATATGCCAAATCTGTTTCACTGTGTACCATTTATAAACTATTACAGAAAATGTTCTCTCTAATATTACCAGTCTATATTGCTTTCCATTCTAACAAAAGATCCATGGAGACACCTGGAGGTTATTTTATTCTGTTAAGGAAGTACTAGAGAATAATGTAATTTCATAAATAATGTTATAATTAGACATACTGGCAAAAATATTATAGGTGTTAAAGCCAGCCATTCTTTACGTTAGTACTGTATCTACATTACTAAACATACCACCAATGTTTTCATGAGAGTTCTCACATATGCAGAATCACACAGTGATCCTTTTGTGTACACACACAGATTTCAGAAAGATAAGATGAATGTTCACTGCACAATGTGATAAGTTTCAGTGTATAGATGCCATGCTTTTATCTGTGATCTAACATGTAATCAAGCTTAATTTCCATTCTGTAACTACCGAAAACATTTTAATAGTAACTATACAAATACTTAAAAATAACCAGAGCAAATCACACCTGAAGGCCTTGACCATCGATAGTGAGAGAATTTGCTCTCTGCATCTTGTTTCGATCAGCTAGTTTGTTTGTTTGCTGACAGCCACTTCTTTCTTTTTTCATTGTTGCTTGGCGTTCCTAAAAAGGAGGTTCAGAAATAATAGATTAATATGTTAAAAATGTTATGTGGTAGAAATGAAAAAATCCCACTCAACAATGATGCATTCAACCACTGTTCCAGTGATAATGAGTTCAGTGATTGCAATCAAATTAAATGAAGTCCAAATTCACATACATCTATTTATGTATCTAGACATAATAGCAGTTAGATAATAGATAGATGATAATTATTTTGTCACAATAAGAACTAATGCAATGGTGTGAAGTTGGTGATACAATGTAAAGCCACGATCAAGCTTCTTAAATAAAATTAATTAGAGAAGGTCTCCCCCTTTGTCTTGACAACAAAACCACTGAAAATCATAATTGTCTTACAATCTGAGGTCTTCAAAAGGATTTGTTGCAATATAATCCCCTTTGAATATCATATAGCACAATTCTGTACATGAATGGATATATATTCATTCTCAGATATATATATATCTGAGAAGTTAAACTAAAAGTATGTAAAAAAAAATCTCTCTGCTAACTTAGGTTTTTATTTTTAGCCTATCTAGAATAGTTATCAGGTGTTTTCAAAGAAGTTATTATCTATATGCAAACTGAGATGGTTTAGGTTCCCCACCTTGGCAACTAAACTCGAAGAAAGCAATGGCATCAATGATAAAAAAAAATTGGCATTGAGTGTATGTTATCACAGATTCCTCAACTAAAGAAAGATCTTCATACTATATGTTTTGAGTAAAATGTTGGGTCAAACAGCATGGAAAAAACACTTCCAGGTAATCATTGCTGCACATTATTTATTTGATTTAAATCCTAAGCTTTCTTCTAAGCTTAGCTTAGCTTACTTGGGTGACTCTCTTTATTTCAGCACCACAACAGTCCTGTGCTAAGAGACAGTGACTGGGTTAAAGTCACTCTTGTTCCCAACACAGTTGGACAATAAGATGAACCAACAGAATTTTCTTTTTGTGCTACACTGTATTTCTTTATTGAAATATTTATATACCTGTAATCATTATACAGTTCAAAGCAGTTCAAAACAGGACTATGAAACAGGAACGCTTTAAATAAAAATAACAGTAAATGAAAACTCTTTTTTCAAAAAGGGGCTGAAATATAATAATATCATAGAGTGGTGCACTGCAGAGAAATCTACTGCTGCATTACTACCAAGTTACGATCTGTAAGCCAAGTGATTCATAGCAACACCTCCACTAAAGATAATTGTGATTTGAAGTTAAAGCAATCCAAATAAAAACACCACAGAGGAATCATCCTATTCTGCAGAAGCAAGAGTGCTACATTAGAGCCATTCTCATTGTTACACATGAGAATTACACTGATTTTCCTGCTTTAGCATTACCAGACTAAGAATCAGCATTTGAACAGATGATGGTCTTTTCATCTGTTCATAAATTCAAGGCGTTATATATTAATATTTTCAGCTTAAATCAATCCAGTGCAGGATGGAGCCTGTTCATTGACAGTCATGGACTGCAATGTACCATGCCAGTTCAGTGCAGGTTGGTAGATGTGTTTTGGGGCTGAGACAGAGTCACCCAGCCCGCTTCTGTTCCTAAGGGAGGCCTAGAACCTGGGTCTCCTGCTCCTAGGCCAACACCTTCACCAATACACCATACTGGTCTTAACACTTCATATATGAAGGCTGGTATTTGAAATCTGGGTCCTATTTGGCTAGGTGAAATTTATCAGGCAGCAATTGGGCACAAGAATATTTAGCATCAGATCAATCATAGCAATTCAAATCATAGCAACTCAAGATTTATAACACTTTTGCTATTATTTGTCCAGGTAGTGGCCTCTAGAATAGTCAGATCTCATGCTCATATCCTGATGAAACTCCTTTTCTCTATGACTTCTTAACCTTCACCAGGAGGTTAAGACTTAGATTGTAATGGAACTGCTCTCATTGAACAGAAGCTGCTCTGTTCCTTTTTCCCAGTCTTCCTCTGACACAGAGTTTTGCTATTAAAAATATTCCTATAAATACAATCACAAGAAAAAGCTGCTAATATTCCTATTATAATCGACACATAAATAGCAACATTGTGGATTTTCCCCCAAGTTAGAACTAATCATAACAGTGCTAGATTCAGAGCAATAAACATGTGAACATAAGGGAGTCCTTTCTTTGAATATACAGGGAAACAGAAACAGAAACAGAACTGGTAATTGTGGACCATTTGTAGCTTTTAAACAGGTACAAGAAGAAGACAGAGAGAAAGCCTACTGGATAGAGAAATTAACAGCAGTGCATGAACACCTAGCAGCACAGATGAACCAGCTGCTAGCAGCAGGCTCCCATCCAGACTGGCTAACACAAGGAAGGACAGCGCTGATCATGAAAGACCCTCACAAGGGAAGAGCACCATCCAATTACCAGCCAATAACCTGCCTCCCCACAACATGGAAAGTCCTAGCAGGCATCATAGCTGCCAAGCTATAGGACTCTATGAGCCAGTACATGAGCACAGCTCAAAAGCCATTGGGAACAACACCCGAGGCTCAAAACACCAGTTGCTCATAGATAGAGGAGTTGCCCGAGACTCAAGGTCTAGACAGGCCAATCTGAGCACAACCTGGATTGACTACAGGAAACCCTACAACTCAATGCCATACATATGGATCTGTGAATACCTAGTGCTATACAAAGTCAACAGGACACTAAGAACCTTCCCCAAGAACTCAATGGGACTGTGGAAGATAACACTGGAAGTCAACTCAAGACAGGTCACACAAGTGGCCATCAAGTGTGGCATATACCAAGGTGAAGCACAGTCCCTGCTACTATTCTGCATAGGCTTGATTCCCCTCAGCCAGATAATCACAAGGACTAGATACGGATACAAGTTCAAGAATGGAATCACCATCAGCCACCTCCTCTACATGGATGACATCAAGCTGTATGCTAAGAGTGAACAAAATATTGACTCGCTGATCTACCTGACATGGATCTACAGTGAGGAAATTTGGATGTCATTTGGACTGGAGAGGTTTGGCCAGATGGTAGTAAAGAGAGGGAAGGCAGTTAAAACTGATGAGGTGGAACTACCAGTGAGTCACATAGCAGACATACAGACCAGCTAGAAGTACTTTGGTATCCCACAGTCACATGGGAACCATGAGGAGGAGGCAAGGAAGATAGCAACATCCAAGTACCACCAAAGGATAAGGACGTCTTTAAGAGCTGGCTCAATGGGAAGAACAAGATCCATGCCATCAACATGTATGCCCTGCAAGTCATCAAATACCCTGCTGGTATAATGATCTGGTCAAAGGAGGACATAGAAGTTGCCAATGTGAAGACCTGGAAGCTCCTCACAATGTACGGAGGTTTCCACCACAAGTCCAATACCCAGAGACTATACACCAGCTGGAAAGAGGGTGGACAGGGTCTGGTGAGTGTCAAAGCCACTGTCTTGGACAAAACCCAGAGCATCCAGGAGTACATCAGTAAGATGGCACCCAAAGAGGAGCTACTGAGAGAATGCCCAAGGCAGCAGCAGCAGACATGGGAGTAAGTTCAAGCAGAGGCGGTACCATGCAACACAAGACCCTGCATGGGATGTACCATGAACAGACAGCTGAAGTGGCTGACCAGTGGGAAATCATGGCTGAAAAGGACTGGATTAAAAGACAGCACTGAGGGTCACAGTAACACAAGAACAGGCTCTAAGCACCAGATCCATAGAAGCAGGGGCCTACCACACTAGATAGGACACAAGGTGCAGACTGTGCAGAGGCCTTAGAGACAGTCTAACGCATACTGGCAGAGTATAAGATGCAGGCAGGGACAGCATACACTGAAAGGCATAACCAAGTAGCTGGCATTGTGTATGGGAACATCTGCACAGGGTATGGGCTAGACCCTCCCAAGTCCAGATGGAAGATTCCACAGAAGGTTGTGGAGAATAAC